GACATGATTTGTTGATGAACTGTGTGGTGGTTTAAAAATACATCTGCAAATTCTTTGACGCTTTGAAAGATAGTCTAATTCCCCAATCTTTGAGTGCAGGCTCTCCTTAGCCACTGGCTTCCACTGAACAGAAGTAACGGTGGGTAACCGCCGGGCATGGTGGCTCGCACTTGTAATCCCAGCACTTTGGGAGGCTAGGGCCGGCATCTCACCTGAGGTCAGAGTTCAAGACCAGCCTGACCAACATGGAGAAACCCCGTCTCTACTAAAAATATAAAATTAGCCGGGCGTGGTGGCACATGCCTGTAATCCCAGCTACTCAGGAGGCTGAGGCAGAAGAATCACTTGAACACAGGAGGCAGAGGTTGCAGTGAGCTGAGATTGCGCCACCGCACTCCAGCCTGGTGACACAGAGCGAGACTCTGTCTCAAGAAAAAAAAAAGGCTCCAAAACTTTCTTTGAGCCTGAAGAATTGGAAGATGGTGTAACAGTTTAACTGAAAAGGAAAGCACTGGAGTGGGCAGAAGGTAGGAGGGAATCAGTAGTTTCGTTTTGAGCAAGTTAAGTTTGAGATGTCAATTACACAGCCAAAGGGAGAGGTTGAGTTGGCAAATGGATCTCCCTGAGTCTGCAGTTCCAGGTTAGAGTTTGAGGCTAGGCATATAAACTGATGAGTCAATAGTATTGTAGATTGCGAGAAACACTATGGGACTGCATGATATCATCTCGTGAGTGAGTGCATCTAGAAAGGGCTGGGACTCCCCAGATTTTATAAGCTATAAAAAAGAAGATCCACTGGAGATTGAGGAGAATCAGCCAGTGAAGAAGGAAGAAAGAAAAGCAAGAGGGAATTTGCCAATAAAAGAGGAGGGATCTGGTGAATTAAGTGGTTAGAAATGCTGTTCTCAAACATTAATGCACATCAGAGTCACCAGAAAGGCTTGTTAAAGCACAGATTGCCAGATCGGGTGCAGTGGCTTGTGCCTGTAATCCCAGGACTTCGGGAGGCCAAGGCTGGCGGATCACCTGAGGTCAGGAGTTCAAGACCAGCTTGGCCAACATGGCGAAACCCCACCTCTACTAAAACTACAAAAATTAGCTCGGCATGATGGTGGGTGCCTGTAAATCCCAGCTACTCATGAGGCTGAGGCGGGAGAATCGTTTGTTTGAACCCAGGAGGTGAAGGTTGCAGTGAGCCGAGATTGCACCACTGCACTCCATCCTGGGCAACAGAGACTGTCTCAACAACAACAAAAGAAACAGAAGCTGAGGGACGACGCGGGTGGTGACTCAGTGTTCAGATACAGAACTGTGTGGCTCAGGTCAGGGTTTCAAAGGGAGCCCTCGGGGGCTTTGTGGGGGATAGACTGGAAGGGAGAGACTAGAGGTCAGGGAGACCCTAGAGTCAGGTTCCAGGTATGACAGCAGGAGCCCTGAGCCTGACCGAGCCCTGAGGACAGAGAAGAGGGGTGCAGGGGAGACTCAGGAGGCAAGAGGGACCTGGCTTAGAAACCAACAAGCTGTTGTGGAAAAGGGGACTAGACGGGGCTTTGACCTAGTTGTCGGGGGGAAACCCCACAAGTGCCGTGGCAAGGGTCTGAAGCCTCAGCCTGCTCCCATATAAACATTGATTTAGAAAAGAATTAGAAATATAAGCACATAGTTATTCCTTTATATAATCATATATAATCTTATAGTTATTTATCATAAAGATATATACTCAATACAACCTTTAATTTTACAAACGATTATCAAGTTATGAAGCATGGAACTGAGGTGACATTGTGAGCAAAGTGACCCTAAGGCAAGATGCTCTAAGCTCTCTGTCACGCCCGCATAAGGGCTGCAGGAGGGCGCCTCGGCTGTGCGGAAGCCCCAGCGCTGGGGAAGCGCCCACTATTTAGCCAGCTAGGGAAGGAGACGTCCAAAATGGCTGAGACTTCTTCCTGGGGAAGTTAGGAGAAAACTCCACTCCCCCAAGCTCTTGTAGCAAGGCCTGATGGCTGTCAGGGAGGCCCGGAGACATCCGGGGGCTTAACTGTGTCTATGTGACACTGTGCTTCAGTGGTCACACTCCATGTCTGCTCCGCTTCTGCACCTGGTTTCTTTTTTTCAGAAGAATTAATAATAGTAACATAATGTTAATGTCCTTGATGTATCTGACAAATATGCAAAAAGTGCTGACACATTAGGTTTTTTCCTCATCTCAGCTACTTGAAAGTCCTGGGCCCCCTACCTTCAAGACACGTGATTTACCTGACCCTACCACTGACCACCATGACCTCACCCTACCTTCCCTGCCCCCTGCTTTGTACTCAATAAAAGTCAGAGCATCCAGGCACTCGGGGTCACTACTGGACTTCGTGCTCTGGTTGGCAGTGGACCCCCGGGCCCAAACTCTCTTTTCTCTTTCTTGGTGACTTCTGTCTTTTATTTCCACAGTTTCTTGTCTCCACACCAGCAGAGAGGGACTCACAGGACCCTGTAGGGCTGGACCCTACACCCAGTAACTGGAGAGATGGTGGGGCTGCCTCAGATGAGGAAACCAGGTGAGAGAATTTGAGGGGGATCCTGAGCTCTCTGTGGGAGGTGGTAAGGGCAAGGGTCCCAGGGGAACATCCAGGGGACAGTTGGCTGGAGGTCAGAAGACATTTAGAAAAAGTAGATAAGCTGGGCACGATGGCTCATGCCTATAATCCGAGCACTTTGGGAAGCCGAGGCAGGTGGATCACGAGGTCAGGAGATTGAGAGCATCCTGGCTAACATGGTGAAATCATGTCTGCACTAAAAATACAAAAAATTAGCCAGGTGTGATGGCACCTGCCTATGGTTCCAGCTACTGGGGAGGCTGAGGCAGGAGAACTGCTTGAACCTGAGAGGCGGAGATTGCAGTGAGCCAAGATCATGTCAGTGCACTCCAGCCTGGGCAACAGAGGGAGACTCCGTCTCAAAAAGAGAAAAGAAAAAGAAAAAGTAGATCAGGGCTGGACACCGTGGCTCACGTCTGTAATCCCAGCACTTTGGGAGGCCAAGGTGGGTGGGTCGCTTGAGGTCAGGAGTTCAAGATAGCCAACATAGTGAAATCTCAACTCTACTAAAAATACAAAAACTAGTTGGATGTAGTCTCACATGCCTGTAGTCCCAGCTTTTTAGGAGGCTGAGGCAGGAGAATCGCTTGATCTCAGGAGGCGGAGGTTGCAGTGAGCCGAGATTGCGCCACTGCACTCAGCCCGGGAGACAGAACAAGACCCCAGCTCAAAAAATCAAGAAAGAAAAAGTAGATGAGATCTCTTAGAAGAGAGAGGCAGCCGAGTCCCCAGAGAGGCAGATTTCCTAGAGTCTGGGTGGATGAATGGGTAGTGGGAAAACCCCCAAAGTTGGAAATCTGTGAGGGATTTGGGATTTGACAAGAGCGGGGAGCCCGTGGGAATGCCAGGGTTGCACCCGCAACCAGGCACTGCAAACCCAGATCTGTCAGGGCCCCAGGCTCAGCACCTGCTCCTCTGGGGCCTCTGCCCCTTTGGGCCCCACTGCAGAGGCAGGAAGTACTGCTTGATGCTCAGCTTCCGCTGGAGGTGCTGGCACGGCCCAGTGCCCTCCCCACTTCCAGGGACCTTCCCACCTCAAGTCTGTAGCACTTTCGCTTCCCCAGGTACCCAGCCCCTGCCCCCAGCACGTGGGTGCTCCCTGGTCTAGAACAGGCTGCAGACTCTGAGAGGCGCAACGAGAAGTGGGGAAGGGGAGACAGAGAAAGGAAGACAGGCCAGGCGTAGGGGCTCATGCCCATAATCCCAGCACCCTAGGAGGCCAAGGCAGGAGGATCGCTTGAGCCCAGAAATTTGAGACCAGCCTGGGCAATACAGTGAGATTCCCTTCTCTACCAAAAACAAAATGAGCCAGGCATGGTGGTAGGCAGCTGTAGTCCCAGCTACTGGGGAGGCTGAGACGCAAGGATGGCTTGAGCCTGGGAAGGTCGGGGCTGCAGTGAGCTGTGATCATACCACTGGACTGCAGCCTCGGCAACCCTGTCTCAAAAACAAAAAGAGAAAGAGATGAAGAGAGAAGGGAGGAAGGGACCCAAACAAGGGGCCAGAAACACAGAGGGAGGCCAGGCACAGTGGCTCAGCCTGTAATCCCAGCACTTTGGGAGACCAAGGCAGGAGGATCGCTTGAGTCCAGGAGTTCCAGACCAGCCCGGGCAACCTAGAGAGACCCTGTCTCTATTTTTTTAAATTAAATATAAAAAATGAAATAAATACACATCATGGCAAAACTCCATTTCTTAAAAAAAAAAAAACAAACAAAAAAACATAAAAATTAGCCAGGCATGGAAGTGTGCACCTGTAATCTTAGCTACTCGGAGGCTGAGGTGGGAGGATCACTTGAGCCCAGGCTACCATGAGCTGTTTGCCCAACTGTACTCCAGCCTGGGTGAAAGTGAGACCCTGTCTCGACAAAAAACAAATATATAAATAAAGTAAAGAGGCCGGGCGCGGTGGCTCAAGCCTGTAATCCCAGCACTTTGGGAGGCCGAGGCGGGTGGATCACGAGGTCAAGAGATCGAGACCATCCTGGTCAACATGGTGAAACCCCGTCTCCACTAAAAATACAAAAAAAAATTAGCTGGGCATGGTGGTGCGTGCCTGTAATCCCAGCTACTCAGGAGGCTGAGGCAGGAGAATTGCCTGAACCCAGGACGCGGAGGTTGCGGTGAGCCGAGATCGCGCCATTGCACTCCAGCCTGGGTAACATGAGTGAAACTCCGTCTCAAAAAAATAAAAAATAAAAAATAAATAAATAAATAAAGTAAAGAAACACAGAGAGAGGGAGGATAGACACCCCGGGGGCAGGAGGAGGAGAAAGACCCAGAGGAGAGAGAGACTGCTGAGAGAAGGGGACAGAGACGGGGTGTGGCCGGAGGGTGGGGACAAAGACCCAGAGAGGAGGAACAAGAGACCCAGGGCAGGGAGGGCAGGTACAGCTGCACACAGAGATGGCAGAGCGTAGCAGGCCATGAGGTCAGAGTGTCTGTGAGGTCGGCTGCAGTCCAGGATCAGCCCTGGGGCCCCCATGCCCAGAGGTGGGTGCTAGTAAATCAGGGATCCCTTTAGACACACCGCACCCCCGGCTGAGCCATGGAGACCCGGGAGGGACTGCCCCATGAGTCCTTGGTGCCCACAAACTCCAAGCCCCCTCAGGTACCAGGGCGTGTGTCCCAGTGGGGCAGGTGAGGGAGACAGGGACAGAGACAGAGAAGAGAGCCACCTCGTGTGAAGCGGAGGGGGTGGAGCCCCACCCTGGAACTTCCTCTTTCGGGGTTCTTCCTTACTCTCAGCTCTCCCTCTCTCTTTCTCTCTCAGCCTCTGTCTTTCCGCCCATCTCCCCCACTGTCAACACCTCTTCTGTGCGGTGAGCAGTACGCTCACCCCTCTAGGTGAAGATGTCGGCACAGGAGAGCTGCCTCAGCCTCATCAAGTACTTCCTCTTCGTTTTCAACCTCTTCTTCTTCGTGAGTTGCCTCATGGCTACCCAGCCCAGGCCCAGCCACTGCCGATCACCCGGCCCTCACCTCCCCGCCGTGGCCCACCCCCACAGCCGCATCTCCCCTCCACAGGTGCTGGGCAGCCTGATCTTCTGCTTCGGCATCTGGATCCTCATCGACAAGACCAGCTTCGTGTCCTTTGTGGGTGAGGGGGGCTGGGGCAGGCGGGAGGGCCTCCGCCAACTAACTTCCTGGGGTGTCCCTGGTCTCAGGGAGACCCATGGTGCCAGACTCTGCAGGGAGCCCACAGGCTCCCATCCACTGCTCACTGTTGCTTCACCTCTTGAAGCCTGCGTCTTCCTCTGGCAAATGGGGTTGTGCATGCAAACTGATGATCATGAGAGCCATTTCTCAAGCACTTCCTATCTGTGGGACCTGGGTCGGGTGGCTGGTCAGATGCCCCCACAAACCTTCCCCTCTCTTGAGGTTCAGAGAGGGGAAGTCCCTTGCTGAATGTCACACAGCAGAAATAACATTAATAACAATAATAGGAAAATAATAATGGAGTAACCAGGCCGGGCACGGTGGCTCATGCCTGTGATCCCAGCACTGTGGGAGGCTGAGGCAGGCAGATCATGAGGTCAGGAGATCGAGACCATCCTGGCTAACACAGTGAAACCCCATCTCTGCTAAAAATACAAAATATTAACCAGGCATGGTGGCACGTGCCTATAGTCTCAGCTACTCAGGAGGCTGAGGCAGGAGAATCACTTGAACCTGGGAGGCGGAGGTTGCAGTGAGCAGAAATTGCGCCACTGTACTCCAGCCTGGGTATCAGAGTGAGACTCCGTCTCAAAAATAAAATAAAACAAAATGATGGAGTAACCACCTAAACACTAAATGCTCGTATTTAAGAAGTTTTTGGCCGGGCGTGGTGGCTCAAGCCTGTAATCCCAGCACTTTGGGAGGCCGAGGCGGGTGGATCACGAGGTCAAGAGATCGAGACCATCCTGGTCAACATGGTGAAACCCCGTCTCTACTAAAAATACAAAAACATTAGCTGGGCATGGTGGTGCGTGCCTGTAATCCCAGCTACTCAGGAGGCTGAGGCAGGAGAATTGCCTGAACCCAGGAGGTGGAGGCTGCAGTGAGCTGAGATCGCGCCATTGTACTCCAGCCTGGGTAACATGAGTGAAACTCCGTCTCAAAAAAAAAAATAATAAGTTTTTACCCTGTGTTGAAGAGTGGGTTGAACATGTTCCCATGTGTCTGTCAAAATGACCCTAGGGGCCAGGTGCAGTGGCTCATTTCTGTAATTCCAGCACTTTGGGGGGCTGAGGTAAGTGGATCGCTTGAGGTTGGGAGTTTGAGACCAGCCTGGCCAACATAGTGAAACTCCGTCTCTACTAAAATAGCGGGGCGCAGTGGCGTGTGCTTGTAGTCTCAGCTACTCGGGAGACTGAGGCAGGAGAATCACTTGAACCTGGGAGGCAGAGGTTGCAGTGAGCCGAGATCGGGTCACTGCACTCCAGTCAAGGCGACAGAGTGAGACTTCGTCTCAAAAAAAAATCCCTGGGAAATCGATACCATTCCCTAGGCCTCAGGGAGGTTTAAGGAACCAGGCCAATGTCGCAGAACAAGGGATAGGGCTGAAACTACTGGAGATGAGGAGGAGCTGAAGGAGGAAGGAGAGGGTGAGAGGAAAAGAGGAAGACAGAGATCCAGAGATGGGAACAGAGGCCCAGAAAGAAGAGAAAGTTTCAGAAGGAGACAGGGACTCAGGGTGGGGCAGGGACAGTGTCCCAGAGAGAAGGGCACCGGGATACTGCTCCCCACTTGGGTGGCTGCCTAGGCAGGGGATGGGGCTGCCTGGAGCTGTGCCACCCAGCTCATCATCACCCCCTCGCCTCTCCCAGGCTTGGCCTTCGTGCCCCTGCAGATCTGGTCCAAAGTCCTGGCCATCTCAGGAATCTTCACCATGGGCCTCGCCCTCCTGGGTTGTGTGGGGGCCCTCAAGGAGCTCCGCTGCCTCCTGGGCCTGGTGAGTGTCCCATCCCTCTCCATCCCTAGGACCACCCCATCCCCACCCCCCAAAATTGCCTGGGCTGAGGCTGGGGGGAGTGGTCAGCCTGACCTCTCCCCTCTGTTCCCCAGTATTTCGGGATGCTGCTGCTCCTGTTCGCCACACAGATCACCCTGGGAATCCTCATCTCCACTCAGCGGGCTCAGGTGAGCTTCCTGCAGCCACCACCACCCACCTCCAGTGGGGAGGAGGGGGAAGGGCGTGGTGGGAGGGGGTGGAGAGAGACGGAAACAAAGGCAGGCAAATAAAAGGCTGGGCCTGATGCCTCACATTTGTAATCCCAGCACTTTAGGAGGCCAAGGCAGGTGGATCATTTGAGTCCAGGAGTTTGAGACCAGCCTGGGCAACATAGTAAGACCCCATCTACTAAAAAAAAATTATCGGAGTGTGGTGGTGCACACCTGTGGTCCCAGCTACTTGGGAGGTTGAGGTGAGAGGATCGCTTGAGCCAGGGAGTTCAAGGCTGCAGTGGGCCATGCACTCATCCTGGGTGACAGAGTAAGACCCTGTCCCAAAAAAATAAATTAATAATAATAAATCATGAATGAGAGAGAGAGGCAGAGGACAGAGAGACACAAATATAGAGCCTGACAGAGAGGGAGAGACAGAGTCAATGACAAGGCCAGAGAAAGACACACTGACCTGGACCAAGGGAGAGAGGGATAAACAGCTCCAAAGGGAAACACTCAGGAAAAAGAGAGAGATCGAGAGAAATAGACACCCTGAAAGAAGAGCCAGAGACAATGAACCGTAGAAATAGTAGGAGAGACAGACAGACCTGAAGTACATAGAGCTAGCCATTCAGTGAGGATCTGAAGCCAACCCAGAGATGCACAGGGACCCCCTGGGGCTGGCACAGCCTGGGAGGGGCGGGGCGGGGCAGAGGAGGTCCAGCCTCACTGGTGGCCTCTCAGCTGGAGCGAAGCGTGCAGGACATCGTAGAGAAAACCATCCAAAACTACCGCACCAACGCCGAGGAGACAGCGGCCGAGGAGAGCTGGGACTACGTGCAGTTCCAGGTGCGCCCCCCTCCTCCAGCTTCCTCCGGGACTCTAACCCGGCTCAGCCCTGTGCCACCCGGAGACTCCACCCCCACGTGGCCCCGGCCCCCAGCTCTAGGACCCTAAGGTACCCCAATCCCTCCTAGGCCCGACATCCCCCACTCCCCAGATGACATAACTGGCCCTGGCGTGGCTCAGTTTCCCAGTACCAAGACCCTGGCGGGGCTTCGCCGTCTACCTCTAAAACTCCGTCCCCGCCCCTGCCCCGACGTAGTCCGGTCCCTAGTCCCGAGATTCGGCTTCCCACCCCGTAGACTCTTGGCTTCCACCGGGCCCCGCCCCCGATGAGACTCACATGCCTCGCACTCCCATTCACCTGTGCGGTATCAGAGGGTCAATTGCACCGCCCACCCAATCTCTAGTCCACAGCGCGACGCTGCAGCTCCTCCCCCAGCCCCAGGTCACCCTGTGACTCGTGTCTCTTCCAGCCCCATGTTTCCGCAAAGTCCCCGGGCCCTGGCCCCATCGCCACTCCAGCCCACTGTCCCCTACCCCACACTCACCACTTAAGCCTCTGCTTCCCGACCTGACCTCATACCCATCACCCTGTCCCCTGATCCCCAGCACCCTATGTCTCCAGTCCCGAGGTCCCTCTGACCCGTATCCCTCTCCCAGCTGCGCTGCTGCGGCTGGCACTCCCCGCAGGACTGGTTCCGGGTCCACAGCCTCAGAGGCAACGGGTCGGAGGCCCACCGCGTGCCCTGCTCCTGCTACAACTTGTCGGCAACCAACGACTCCACAATCCTGGATAATGTGATCTTACCCCAGCTCAGCAGGCTCGGACCGCTGGCGCGGTCCAGACATAGCACAGACATCTGCGCGGTCCCTGCAAAGAGCCACATCTACCGCGAGGTGGGCAGGGGTTCGGAAAATAAACCCGTAGAATGGGGCCGGACCTGCGGGAGGAGAGGGCTGCCGGCGAGGGGCGGGGCCTCAGGAAGGGCGGGGCCACAGAAAAGGAAAGGTACCGTGGGAGGGGCGGGGCCTGTGCGAAGGGCGGGGCCTAAAGAAAAGGCTGGGCTGGATCTGGAATACAGGCGTCTAGGAAGGGGCCAGGCTTGGAAGAGGTGAAGTGAAGGTGCACTAGTAAGGAGACCAGAGAGCCCTGATGCCTGAAGGCGGTGAGGGTTGGGCTGAAAAGAACACTGGGCCTGGGCTTAAACGTCCCAGAAAGAATCCCTTTAACCTTTCCCTACACCCCCAGGGCTGCGCGCAGAGCCTCCGGAAGTGGCTGCACAACAACCTGATTTCCATAGTGGGCATCTGCCTGGGCGTCGGCCTACTCGAGGTGATCTGGCCCCACCCCCACTCGCAATCGGCCCTAAATCCCTAGATGGCTCCGCCCTTTATTTCGCGTCCTCCGGTTGCCTAGGAAAGACGCGCCCGGGGCGGTGCGCAGCCTACCCGGGCCTTCCAGCCGCCACACCCAGCACGAGGGGTGGAGGAGGCCTAGCTTCAGGGCGCCGTAGGTAGGGAAAACCTCCTGCTATTGGCTGCGATCTCCCACCCCTTTCCCCGCAGATGGCTGTCATGGTGCTGAGCGTACAGCTACAGCGCAGGGCACTCCGCCGGAAACGCGCGCACGTGCCGGGAGCCCGGGGTTCGAGCCCCGGGGCCAGCCTGATCGCTGTCAGCGGCGGCGGCGGGCGCTGTGGCATGCTTAGCAGCAGCGGGCGCAACGGCAGTCTGTGGAGTGGCTGGGGCCTGGCGGGTGCCTGCCCCAACTGGGGGGACAAGGCCCCACTGGGCAAGCTGCCCATGGCCCTGGGGCCCTGGCCGCTGTGGGCTCAAGACGAGGACCGGCCTGATACCGGGATTACGGGCGCAGAATTAGAGGCCGAGGCAGAATTAGAGGCCGAGGCAGAGGGGGAGACAGATGAGCCTCCAGAATAAAGGACCCTGTGCTTGCTTCTGACCTTACTCCTTCCACCCTCTACCCCCAACCCCGCCTTCCCACCTATCGCAGCGGCGCTTCCCCAACCCCCACTTGTGGCAGCCATTCCCGCATCAGCCAGGCCTGCAGCAGTTCCCCTCGAGCCCCGCCCATTTATACTTAGCCTCTTCTCCAGCCCCAACCACCCCCGTCTTGCCAGCACCCCTTCGACTACTCTGACCCCATCTCCTTTCTCTATAGCTCGGGTTCATGACGCTCTCGATATTCCTGTGCAGAAACCTGGACCACGTCTACAACCGGCTGGCCCGATACCGCTAGGCCCGCCCTCCTCAAAGTCCTGCTCCACCCCTGTCACGTGGGCTGGGCCCGTCCCAGCTGCCTGTAAATATTTGTTTAATCCCCAGTTGGCCTACAGACTCCCCCCACTCCGGCCTTCACATTCCCCTGGGGACCCAGGTGGCTGCCTGACCACGCTGCTGTCACCTCTCCCATGGGACCTGGGGCTTTCATCCACCAGCTTCCTGCCCCCATCTGTTGGCCTACCACCTCCCACAAGACTATTTTTCGCCCAAACCTCGAATAAATCCCCTGTGTTTTTGGTAAAATAGCTTTATCCTCTGTCAGAACACAAACCAAACTTTGAGAGGGGAGGGAGGAAAGAGTAGCTTGTGGCTCACTTAGAAGGAGGGGGGAATGAGATTAGAAAGCTTTACCCCACTGCTTGTGGGGTGATAAAGTCAAGCCCCTAGCACCCACTTATAAATATCTCGCTATATTAAAAAAAAAAATACTTTCAGGGCCCACCTGGCTCTGCTGCTGCACAAAGGGTTAATCTTCACTTTGTGATCTCACAGGTCATGGAGTGGGAGTGGGAGGGAGAGGCAGAAATTTCAGGGGGAGGGGTGGCTTGGAAAAAGTAAAGGGGACAAGCAAATGTGTAACTAGGGCCCTCTAAGACATGCAGAGGAGTGTGAGGGGGCCCCGCCAGGGGCTGAGAAGCCAGTGCTGTACCTGGGGGTTGTCTCACTCCTGTCCCCAGAATCCCTGATACTCTGGAGTGATCTGTCCTATCAGACACCCACTGTGAGGTCCCAATATCGGGGTTTATCCTTTCCTCAGTCCCAGCCTGTCCAACTCTCCAAGTTTTGGGGGCCCCTCTAACAAATAGGGGCCCTTATTAAGGAAGGACTGCCTCAGTTGCTTACGCCTCTGAGGTCAACCCCTTCACATCACAGCCCCCTCCCCAAATAAGAAGCATGAGGTGAGCTGGAGGACCTTCCCTGGGAGGAAGGTGTTCTGGGGGTGAGCCAGTTCTGGGGTCCCCCGTCAGTCCCTGACCAGGCGGTAAATGTGGTGCTGGGCCCCACGCTCACTGGTGGAGACCTCGAAGACATAAGCGGTGCACAGCAGCAGTTCCTGGGTGTCTCTGTTTGTCACCACCTGCCAGGGAGGCCAGGACAAGGGACTTAGGCTTAGAAGGGAGGGCAGGGACCACTGTGCCCTCCCCCAAGCTATCACGGGACAGCAGCAGGCCTCTTTTCCATCTCCAGGAAGCAGGCCCCCGCCATATTATGTTCCCCAAGAGACAGGGATGCCCCAACAAGTCAGGTGCCTTGGGCAATGGGGGTTACCCTCAGCTGAGGGTTGGCAGTGATGATGTATCACGTCTCAGAGTTAATCGGGTTCCCATCACATCACACTCCCCAGGTAAAAGGGGTCCCCATCATGTCACAGGTAAAGGGACAACCCTCCCTTCACGTTCTGCAGTCAAGGGGTCTCTGCCTCAGCACAGTCCCCGACGTTAAAGGGGCTCCCACCATATCACATTCTCAGAGAAGCTGAGGCTCTGCCTTAAAGGGCCCTCCAGTCAGCTTCCCCAGGGAAGGAGGGACTGCCTGACATGAGTGCTGTGGGGCTGGGCACGGTGGCTCACGCCTGTAATCACAGCACTTTGGGGGGCCAAGGCAGGCAGATCACTTGAGGTCAGGAGTTCGAGACTAGCCTGGCCAACATGGTAAAACCCCATCTCTACTAAAAATACAAAAATTTGCCAGATGTGGTGGGGCATGCCTGTAATCCCAGCTATTCAGGAGACTGAGGCAGAAGAATCGCTTGAACCGGGGAGGTGGAGGTTGCAGTGAGCCGAGATCATACCACTGTACTCCAGCCTGGGTGACAGAGCGAGACTCCACCTCAAAAAAAAAAGAGAGAGTGCCGTGACATCCCTACTATATCTGTTCCCTGGGTGAAGGTGTCGCCTAAACCAAGGGTCAATTGTGGGATCTCCACTTTATCAGTATCCTGATTAGAAGAGCCTCAGGCTGAGGGTTCACTTCGGAGTCCTTGCTGTGTCCATTCCTGGGTGAGGAGTTCCCCTAGACTGAGGGTGTTACAGGTACTGTCCCTTGACATCTGGGGGCCCCACTCCAGCTCAGCCCCGGGCATCACCTGGAGGATGGTGAAGTTCTCCAGGACGCTGTTCATCATGTATCGCTCAGGCAGCTGCCGCAACTTGTGCAAGAAATTCACCAGGTACTCGCACATGGGCGAACGTAGCAGGCGGTACACAAATCTCCCGTCCTCCAGCTGGGCCCGTTCCGTCTGAACCAAGAGGCAGGGAGTGGGGAGAATGCTGGCTGAGAGACACACGGGTCACCCCAGGAACTGAGCTCCACCCTGTGCCTCTTAGATGCCACCACACTGACTCCCACTGCTCCTCCTTCACATCACCCCACCCACAGTGACTGGAGACTGGACCTGAACCCTTGGGTATCCAGCTCAGGATCTCTGTGCCTGCAAATCACAAGCCCCTCAAAGTTATGCTCTGAACCCTCAAAGACCTCTGAACTCCTCTAACCTTCCAGCTCCCAGATACCCTCCAAAGATCCCTCCATGATATCTGCAAACTCTATCCGACCTCTAAACTTACTTCCCCAAGTCTCCAGCAACCCCTAAGTGTGACTCCTGTCTTGTTTTTTGTTTGTTTATTTTTTGAGACAGAGTCTTGCTGTGTCGCCCAGGCTGGAATGCAGTGGTGCAATCTCGGCTCACTGCGACCTCCACCTCCTGGGTTCAAGTGATTCTCCCGCCTCAGCCTCCTGAGTAGCTGGGATTACAGGTGCCTGCCACCACGCCCGGCTAATTTTTGTATTTTTAGTAGAGACAGAGTTTCACCATGTTGGTCACGCTGGTCTCAAACTCCTGACCTTGTGATCTGCCCGCCTCGGCCTCCCAAAGTGCTGGGATTATAGGTGTGAGCTACCTCGCCAGGCCTTAAGTGTGACTTCTGAACCTTCTTGCCTTAGGAACATCTCCATATCCATAAGACTCTTCTCAATCTCTGTGACTAAATCTCTATACCACACATTCCCTGTTAGCCCTCAGAATGATTCCTACCTGTGACTTCTGAACTCCACAACTGCTCCCAACTCATGCATTAAACCCTCAAAGAGGCTGGGAGCCATTCCCTCCACGCACACCCCCAAATGCCTGAGCCATCATGGCTTCTGATCCATTCTGCACTCCCGAGTGGTGGGTGGCTGGGCGCTCACCTGCCCAGAGCTCCACCCCTCCAGCCTCACCTCCACCTTCTCCACCACCTGCTTGCCAAAGGAGCAGACCTTGGAGGAACAGGTGAGGGTCATGTGTTCCAGGCTCTCATACTGGCTGCTCACTCCATAGAAGCCACCACTGCTGCTGCTGCCACTGGCCCCCGCCTCCTCGCCACTTGGTCCCCAGTTCAGGTCCGCCTGGGAGATGGGAAGGCACAGATGAGTCAGAGGGGACATCCCTTATAAACAGTGGGGAGTGCCAGGCACAGTGGCTCACGCCTGTCATCCCAGCACTTTGGGAGGCCGAGGCTGGCAGATCACCTGAGGCTGGGAGTTCAAGACCAGCCTGACCAACATGGAGAAACCCCGTCTCTACTAAAAATACAAAAATAGCTGGGCATGGTGGTGCACGCCTGTAATCCCAGCTACTCAGGAGGCTGAGGCAGGAGAATCGCTTGAAACTGGGAGGCGAAGGTTGCAGTGAGCCGTGATTGTGCCATTGCACTCCAGTCTGGGCAACAAGAGCAAAACTCTGTCTCAAAAAAACAACAACAACAGTGGGGACCCCATTACCCCTGCAGTTCCCTGCCCAATTCCTCAGCATTTGTTTTGTTTTGTTTTGTTTTTGGAGACAGGGTCTTGCTCCGTCACCCAGGCTGGAATGCAGTGGTGCAATCACAGTTCACTGCAGCCTCGACCTCCCGAGCTCAAGTGATCCTCCCACCTCAGCCTCCTGAGTAGCTAGGACCACAGATGCATGCCACTACATCCAGCTAATTTTTTGTAAAAACGGGGTTTTACCATGTTGCCCAGGCTGGTCTCAAATTCCTGGGCCCAAGTGATCCTCCCACCCCCCAAAGTGCTGGGATTACAGGCATGAGCCACCACTGCACCTGGCTTTCAAAGTTCTCCGAAGGCTGGTTTCTGGAGAAGATCCACTGCCCATCAGTGTTAGAGAAGTCTGGGTTCCCAAAATGGCCTTGGCCCTGTCTCCCCAGTAACCAAAGGAGCCCTGGAATTCAACCTTTTTCTCTTGAAGCCCGCAACTCAAGAGTTCAGCCCCTTCCAAGGGCCTGGTTACTAAGGAGGCTGTTATTCCTTAGCAACCAGTTGAAGATGGATACCTCCCTCTGAGCCCCTCTCATCCTGGTTGCTAAGGCAAGTGGCTACTCCCTAGCAACGGAACCTCGAGGAGGCCTGATTCCTCTTCAGAGCACCTCCCAGCAGCCGAATCCGAGAGGCCAGACTCCCTCCATAATGCCAATGGTCAAGTGCATAGACAGCTGGCCAAGTGTCACTAGGCCAAGTGGGGCCTAAGGAAACCTAAGACCTCATCACACCTTTGTTCTGAGTCACCTCCTTGAGAGGCATGCCTCTTCCTCTTCCTAACCTTTTTTTTTTTTTGAGATGGGATCTTGCTCTGTCACCCAGGCTGGAGTGCAATGGCACGATCTCCACTCACTGCAACCTCTGCCTCCTGGGTTCAAGCGATTCTCCTATCTCAGCCTCTCAAGTAGCTGTGATTACTGGTACGAACCACCACGCCTGGCTAATTTTTTGTATTTTTAGTAGAGATGAGGTTTCACCATGTTGGCCAGGCTGGTCTTGAACTCCTGACCTCGTGATCCACCAGCCTCGGCTTCCCAAAGTGCTGGGATTACAGGCGTGAGCCACTGCACCCGGCCACTCTTCCTAACTTTAGTTGCTAACACTTCACCAGGTCAGTCTTCTCAGGGGCCCGACTCCATCCCTCACTATGGCAAAACCAAAGGCCTTACCAGCTGCTCTTCTGAACCGCTTCAGCAGCTGGGCTTCCTAAGGGGGTGGCTGTCCAGACCTGGGACCTGATGAGGCCTGTCTTCAGCCCCAACAATGCCTAAGCCCTCAGCTGCATTTCCCTAGAGCAGTCTCAGGCCTCCACGTCACACGGAGGAAAGCTTCAGAACCATGACAGTGACATTCTCAGCAAGAGCAGTAAAGTTCAGCCCCTCAGCAGGCTTTCTTTTTTTCTTTTTTTGAGACAGGGTCTCATTCTGTCACCCAGGCTAGAGGGC